GTCTTTGTTAGGAAGCCGTGTGACCAAGCAAGGAATCTGGAAGCTTAATTGCCATGGAAGGTTTGCAAGAAGAAGGACCCAACAAAGGTCGTAGCCCGGTCTTCGAAGCTCTCCCTGCCCGCAGGTGGGTTGCGTTTCTACGAGTGCCTGCCGACACTCACATCCAAGGAAAGCACAGCTTCTCCGCTGGTTGAGCCTGCTCCTCAGGTGCTTAAAACCTCTCACGACGCAGCAATGTTTTGAGTCGAGCCATCTATGGGTTTCATGCAAGCATTCTTCATTGACTTGAGAAATCATGTCTTCTAAGTGATTCTACGTTTTTTTGTGTTACCTCTCTGTTACCATGTTGTTCTTGACAGCTGGATGACAGTGCTCTTCTCTTTACATGTTATTTTGCAGTACCGAGTATGCCTGGCCGACAGTAAGAGCGCCAGCGCTTGGTAATCGAGTTTGTCCAGCCTCGCTACATTTCCATGGTACGCAAGTCGTAAACCCCAAATCCAGAACGCTCACATGATCGCTTGAACCCCGAATCCTACACAGTTTACAACCCTACAAGCCACCCCACTATATCAACTGACACTGCCCGGGTACATGAAGAGATCTCTGCTTAGGACCACGGACTTGCTTCCTCGGATTGCTCGAAACGGCCATGGCCTCTGATTAGGGTGAGAGTCGGAGCTGGGGTGTTGTTTCTGCGTTTCGATGACAGCAGATACTTTACAGATAACCAGACCGAGTATATCTATCTAGCAGCTAATTAATGTCAGCAGCAGTAGCGATGATTATACGCGTGTTGAGGGCAGATGCTTTGTGGGTGGTGGCGTACTGGTGATGGCGATGATATTGGCGTTCATGATCACTACCGCATTTGCGAATGCTATCGTGCTCATAAGGATTCTTGAGGTCATAGTCAGGAAAACCAGGAAGGTGCAGTACATACTAGCAGTTACTAGCATTAGCCTAGTGATGGCTATCTTCATAGCCCGCGTATGATCAGGATATTTGGGTTGGAGCCTCAATTTCAGGTGCAGCACAGAGGCTCCGTAATTATACCGATTGGAATTGAAAGATATGGATTGCGACAAGTCTCGCCATGACTTGGAAAACCCCGCCTCGGTGACGCCACGTATACGAGACATCGAGGAAACCATTTCGTTGAATATGCCCCGCAAGAGCACATGTTTTTAAAAAGCGGGCAGTCCATGTCGTACTCAGGAGACTTGCGTTTCTTGCATTTGCACCCCACAACATCCAACAACCTGAATCGTTTCGGCTTCAGGCTACACGGCATTGCTGCTGATGGGATTACTTGAATGCAAGGACTTGCACGGCATCACGGCATAAGAGGCTGCCTTCAGAACGTTCTAGTTATTCAACTTTTCAAGCTTGAGTGCAACCGCAGACTTCTGTATATACACATGTCACAATGCCGCAAACATACATGATACTGCATGTCCAAGCGTCCACATCCTGCACAGCATGCACTAACGCTGCACGACACTGATGCAACACATGCACACATGCACAATTCGCGTTAGTCCACATACCTAATCTGAATATATGAGTGTTTCGGGTAGCTGTGAGCATTGTTTTTGTTTCGGGTTGAACGCGCACTGGATATCACACGAGCACACAAGTCCAAGAAGAACCACGCAAGGAATCTGTGTCCGAGACAGTATACTTGTGTATAGACGGATGGGCATTTATTCTCTCTCTCTCTCTCTCTGTGTCTCTCTTGTTTCTGGTACCCTTTTATCCGCAAGTGGTAGCTCCCTGAGTCAAGGCCGCTCCACGACAGAATATGTCACTGTTTGAATCTATGTGGAGAAGCCCAAGCATAAAACCATGGGTCAAATCATTCATAAGCCGCCAAGACCCTAAACCCCAAGCCACCCAAGCGCAGGACAACAATACCCTGGGCCGTCAGCCCGTGAGTTTGTACGCCCTCGCCAGAGATCTTGGAACTACGGAGGAGCTGGTTTTGGGTTAAAAGCGTTTAGGTGTCCAGGTGTGAGATTGCGGTCTTAGGGATTTTCGGGCTACGAGTCATTCCAGGCTTTCGCGCCTCTCTTTATGTGTACATTCGCCAGGAGCTGAAGAGCTTGGTGCTTCAGGCTGGAGATGTTGGCCAGCAATGCATAGCATGGATGGATTTGGGGAGAGTGGCCGTAAGCCCGAACCCTAAACCCCTCAGACTCGAAGATGCACCGTGTGTGTTCGAAATCCAGACTTGTTACCCAAACCGCCGGTTGTGAAAAGTCTGAACTACCCGTATGGACACAGAGTTGGCAATGTCTGGAGCTGTTGAGTTCGTAGCCAAACAGTATATTGACCAAAGTGTTAAGAAGCAACACCGAGTTCAGAGATTTAAGACCAAAGCCAAGTTTAACTGGTACGAAGAATCTCGGCCATGTAGTTTTCAAAACCACCTCTGAACAATCAGAAACTGATGAATAGTGGCTCTCTTGATACAAACTCCAAGACCTGAGCCCCCCACTCCAGCAGCCGCCTAGAATCCAAAGCCCCTAAAGCCGTTATAGTATCCTTTCGGTAACCCGTATAGGGCAGTTGCCAGCATCCTTAAAGCGACACTACACTTAAGCCCTAAACCCGTGTAGAACCCTAGACCCTAAACCCTGAAAGGTATAGTAGACCCAGTCGACCTTAAGGAAGCCTTACAGCAGCCCCTAAATGGCCCTAAATTCCCTGAACCTTCAACCCCCATACTGAGAGCCTTAAAGCAACCCCCAAAAGCCCTGAACCCTAAACCCTAAACCCTAAACCCTGAACCCTAAATCTAAACCCTGAACCTCCTTCAGAGCCCCGAAGCATCCTGAAACAGGCCCCTAAAGGCCCCAAACCCCCTCAAACCCCCCCCCCCCCCGCAATAAACCTTTGAGGAAGCCTTAAAGCAACCCCTAAAAGCCCTGAATCCTAAACCCTAAGCCCGCTTCAAAAAAAACGCTTCAAAGCCCTGAGCCCAAACCCTCTTAAGGGCCCTGAACCAGGCCCACCGTTTGGGACTCCAAGTCTCGAGCCGAGTTGCGGGATTTCTCCTCTTCTAGGTTCCACTACAGTCTCCTGAGGAATGATGTTTTTCTGCTTTTACATTTTGTTCATGTAAAACTCATGGGAATAATACAAATATTTGTTGTATTATGCTTCTAAGGGGGGTATAGTTCAAGGTTCGGGGTTTAATGTACGGGATTGGTTCTTAGAGATTAAGGTTTCAGCTTTAGGGCTAAATGGTTTAAGGGTTCAGGGATGGTTTAGGGTTTAGAGGTTTGGGTTTCGTGGTGAGGATCAGAAGGTTTAGGGCAGGTCTAGCTATAGGGATGGAGGGTTTGGAGTGTATGATAGGTCCAAACAACTAGAGTTTGGAGGTTAGAGGTGATTTAAAATCCATGGGTCGTGGCTTGAGTTTGTTGTTAAGGGCGCAATCAGGGCGACTCGGTGTTTCTGTTGCTGGTTTCGGTAAGTTAACAGCTGCAAAGACAGATGTAGTGGTTCCCATCAGGGTCTTGATAAGGCTCCGGGACTTCGATTTGGAGATTGGTTTCTTCATATGAGAAAGCGGCATGGGGTTGAGGACTTCGGTTGAAAGACGGGGTGTCTCGACGGTAATACGCGGCTGTCACACGTCGGGTGCAGGGCTGTTTGGAGAGTTGCAATACAAGCGATACTGCAAGACCTGAGTTTAGAGGGTTTGCCGGTTGCAGGGCAGGCTTGCAAAAAGGAGGGACATCTCTGAGCCATTCCCTGTCGCTTCTTGACTGCTTCCAGTTGCTAGAGCGACACGCAGCGCGACTCTCCAAAAGGTTGTGAAAATCATTCACTGCTCGCAGGACTGTGACAGGCCTGCAGTCATCACAAATATACCACAAGGGGCCGAACACGACTTCGAATCTTAAGCCACCACACCCTCGACATGAAACCCCAAAGACTCAAATTCCCTAAATCCTACACCCAGACATAGACCCTAAAGCATACGACCTAAACGCCAAACTGGGCCCGGGTTGCTGCTCAGCACAAGGTGTTCATGGACCTGCCTCACAGTGGGGCAGCATCAGCCGAGGCAGGGCGGCAGCCTTGCAAGTTCAGGATTTAGGGCGGCCAGCTTAGACTGATGATGAAGAATATCATGATCAAGATGGTGATGGTGATGATGAGGATGAAGATGGGTGCTGAATCTGCAGATGCGTCGCGATGATGATGATGATGATGATGATGATGATGATGGTGATGATGATGATGATGATGATGACGACCATGGCAAGGCGCAGGATGAGGACGGGCATGGCCAGGATAAGGATAATGAGTGTGATGCTCAAGGGGGGCCAGGAGGAGGAGTGGGAGGAGGAGGAGGAGGAGACGGAGGAGGAGAGGGAGCAGGATAATATTTCGGAGCTGCCTTCTTGCATGCAGGGATTGCTTGACGAGGGTTACGGTTAGGGCTTCGTGAAACCTGCCCAGCATGTGCGGCTATGGGTTTTCGGATGTACAGACAGACCATAGATGTGCTTGAAGCGAGTTTGGATTTCAGGCAGATCTTACCGCGCAATACATCTTGCTACACCTGCCCCTGCCTTGAGAATAGGCCATAGCTTTCGCGAGCTCGGGCCCCTAGTAACATAAAACTTAAGTCCCTTTGGATAGGGGACGTCCCGAATGGCAGGTCTAGAACATATCAAGTTCTCCACTTCTCCAAGGCCGTAGTTCGGGCCTATGTGCCCAAACCCTGGCCCAAAATCCACAGTGCCCCGACTTAAGCCCTATAATGCCTATAAACCCGTGTAAGAGGGTCTCGGACATTTATTACGTCGCTGCATTCTAAACACCTAAACCCTTTAACCCTGAATCCCCCCCCAAAACCCGCATTCCTGAGCCCTTGAAACCACCGAGGACGGGCTGGGAGGACAATTCTTCCACTGGGGAGAGCTCCTTGGTCGCACTGGTGTTCAGGGTTTACAAGGGCTTAGTAGGGGGGCTATGGTGAACGTATGTCGCTGATAATCTTACCAGGAGTGGATCTTGACTGACAGTTTGGAAGTTGGTCTGTGTTTGAGAGCTGCAGCTCATTTAATGTTTCACAGTCGCAGAGTCCGAGCCACATTCTGACAGCTGATGTATACATATATATACGCACGCACACACCCATATCGGTCTCTGTCTGCCTTTTCCATTATATGCGTGTGTGTGTATATATATATATATATATATATATATGTATATAATATTAAGTGTTGTGCCAGCGCCCCGAACGATTGAGACAGCAGCTACGAGCCAGCCGGCCCTCATGTCGAGGGCCTCTCTGAATTCGATCGTAGGTCGCATTTTGCACACCCATGATTCGAAGAGTTTTACCATCAAATCCGGGAGAGCTTCACTTTCAAAGGCCTGCGACATGTTATATACGGCTATAGGAGACTTATAGAAAGCACGCTCTGAGCCAGCAGCCTGAGAGCCTGAGCAGTGGCCTCTCTTGGCCTCGGGACTGCAGGAAGGGCTTTCATCCCATCAGCGGAGCCCGGATCTACAACTTCGAGGAGGGCGAGGCAGGAGCTGCTAAGTTGCGGCCCGCCGCAGGATCTAGCGAAGTCTAGCCGGATTTCGGTGAGGCTTTGGAACTTTCGAGGTTTCTAGCTGAGTTATAGAAGCAGTGTGGACCACGGTTTCTGTTTTCACGGCACAGCCTGTCTAACTACACGCTACGTGCTCAATGACTCGATGTGAGTCAGCGCGTTTCCAACTAAATGTTGTGTTTGCAATACGTTTATTCTTGTTTTTTTCTTGCTGCTGATGCTGTTGAAGTTGGTATTATTCTTGCTGCTGTTGGCTTGCTGTTGTGTTCTGCCTGTGCTGGCTGTGGGCTCATGTGGACGTCTGTCACTTCTTGTCGCAGCCGCTCTTGCTCGTCTTAGTTGTCACGAAGGCAACTTAGTTCTGACATGTCTTGCCTTTGAGGGTAAACGGGGAGTCTAGACTGGAATCTGTTCAGGTCCAGCGCTACCTGCTTTCCAGCATCGCGTTCTGGATGGACCAATTCGGCATTGACGGCTTCAGGCAGAGCCCGCCACACGCCAATCTGAGAGAGAAAGCAGATAGCCAACCGGCTTCGAGGCCTTATTGTAATGTAGCTTTTTTACATCGATGTAAAATCATACATTACAATGTACGACGCAGCCCTTCCTTTGCCAAAGCTGCCCAAAACATGTTTGCACCACAGGGATGTTCGACGGTCTTTGTGCAGAGCTTCGCAGCAGGTTCTTGGACGTTGCCTCCACTATCTGGGCCGATCGTGGCAGGCGAGACTTGACCACGAGTACAACAACTACTACTGCTACTGTTACTGCTAGTTACTACTGCTACTACTATTACTACGACGACGACTACTACGACTACTACGACTACGACGACGAGGACGCTATTACCACCACGTCCTGCCAGATTTACCATAACACAACTATCACTGCTGCCACTACCACTACTGTGACACAATACCTTCAACAGTACCACTACATTTGACGTTTCCTCTGTGGGAGACAGTAACATGGTGGCTATCGGCTATCGTTCCTTCTTCGCTGTCTGTTTGGGACAGGACGTTCGTTGTTGACCACTAGACCCAAAACCCTATAAACCCTACAGCATCCTAAAACCCCCGTGCCCAAGAGGTTTGTGCCATCCGATCCTGCAGAGATGGAGGAGTTTCTGTCGACCGCTGACAAGACAGACAAGGCGCATTCTCACCCCAGCTACCATCCGTAGCACCATTGTGCCCTAACGGTTCCTTGGCGCACGCGAATCGCTATGTGCAGGATGGCGTCCAGTACTTGATGCAGGCCAACTCACTCATCCACCAGCTGGACAAGTATGCCCGGACAGTGGCCGAGGTTCCTCGATGCTGCAAGCAGAACTGAAACCGTGCGGAAGCAAATCGGAGTGGCAATTACGTTTTATCTTGAGCGGTAACTCGAAACCTTTGAGGCTCAAGATGTACATCCCGAGACCCTCAACCGCAAATCTGACAATCCCCACACAGTGCGACATGAAACCGACGCGATTAGCCACCACAAAACCTCAGGATGCAACAACAACTCATTCAGTTTCGTGATCCCAGTACTAGCTTAAAACAGCAGAGACGACTACCTCACAGATACAGCTTTATCGTACCGAAATGGAAACTGAAAACCCAATGTATGCACGACATATACATATATATATATATGTCTATATATATATATACAATTCCGTACAGTTTTCAGATATATCTATACACATATACACGCACAAAGACATGTAGACACTCCGGAGGAGACGACCATGTACCCACACCTCTGCGACTCGGTGGAAGAAGGTGGACTTGGCTTCGACTATCGTCAGGCCATGGGTTCCTGCAAGTTGTGGTTTTCAGGCTTCTGCTTCGGGTTAGTGCCAGTAGGACCTCAGACTTGGTTTTATGGTTTTCACCTAAATTTCCGGTTCAAGGAGTAGTCCTGTTGGCAGCAGTAGAGTTGCTTCATGCGTTTGGACGTGGATGTGCTGTCGCCCATGATGTGGAGGCATCAAATGCTCCGAGTCTCTATCGCGAGCTTGTCACGACCTGCTGTGGCCTCAGCTGTTCAGAACGATTATCATTGTCATTCTATTTATCGTCACTATAATTGTTTATTTTTACTACTATTAGGGTTTTCATAGGTTTTCTGAGTTTTATGTTGCGAAGACGGCCGCACCGCCGCCTGCTGCAGGTCGGGATGAGCAGTGGGGGATGAAGACCATCGTTGACACTATTTGCGAGGCCGGGTCACAGGAAGCTGCGTACAAGGGGTAGCAGAGGATTGAGCGCCTCCACCAAGGTGAAGAACCTGATGCCCAAAGAGAAGATTCTGGGTTACATGGAGTCCCTCGATCATTGCGCTCAGAGCTTAACAGGGCGTACTGTGTGTGTGTGTGTGCGTGTGTTATTACTTGCTCAATTAGCGCATTTTGTGTCTTCGAGAATTCCCTGTTGCGGATGGAGAAGTTTATCACGCGAGGGAGGATCCTCAAATTCGGTTGCTGCCTGGAACAAGGGCTCCCTTACCCCCTAGGCCCTAAACCCATGAACAGCACCCTGAACCCTAAATCCTAAACCCGAAACCCTAAAACATAGATCCCTCTAAACCATAAGCAGCACTGTGCACTTAGAAGAGCCCCGAGATGGCTGCAGCATGCGCCTCCTGGGTGGGCCTGTGGAGAGATCCTTGCGACTTAAAGCCCCTGTGTTGTTATCCGTGTTTCCAGTATTGTCATGTACCCTTATTGCGGCTGCCACTGTATTCATATTGTAGTATAGTGCTCATCCGGAGAAACGAAACAGCATGATTGTCATCCTTGTATGAGTATGATCGAGAACCTCAAATCTTCAAGCGGACAGCCCAGACTTACACATGGAATTTTCCGAAAATGAGGGGTAGCTTATTTTGGGATCCTTTTAAGAAGGATCCTACTATTTAGAGTACAAAGTTAGGGTCCCGTATTTGCGGTTTTGTTCGGAAGCCCATCTCCCAAATCTAAATTACATGAGGCCGTGGGAAGAAGGCCGTTGAAGATTGCCTTCCTCTCGCTGCAGCCTCAGTTGAGTGAGAAGACCGGAGAGAGACTGAAAGCCTACCTGAACCTACCAGAACGTACTTTTTTGACGGGTCCCTACAAATCCCATATTAGGGTTTATAATAAGAACCTACAAAAAAGTAGGGTTTAGTAGGTCTAGGCACTGACAGCAAGAGGAGCAGCGACAGAAAAAGGCAATAGTTGCAGTCATGGTCATAAGTGTTCTTCTTCGTCAGCGACAGGACAACCCCATCATGCGAATACAATCCGGTCGAGAACTGATGTGGCTCATTTCTTTGGGTTGTCGGAGTGATCAGCTTAGTGCACATGTCGGAGACGGGTTCAAAGTCGAAGTAATATGCAAGCATGAGTTGTTCAAGACGTTTCCTCGGGTTCCCCAACTTAAAAGAGTGTAGTCAACCAGAAAACGCTGCTTAATGCCCCTGTGATCTCAAGAACATCCAGTTCTAGTGTCCCTTATACTTTTACTTGAATAGTCACCCAAACCGTGGTCCACCTGTAAGCTCATGCCCTACCCCTCTTCAAGGGCGCCTACTTTTTCAGATAACAGATCCTAACCATAAAGCTAGGTATCCTAAAAAAGGGGCATGAGCCTCTAGGTAGTTGTTCAGGCTCCTATATTAGACGCCCGGCTTCAGGTGGGAGACCTTGCACACCATCGCAGCAGGTGGTGTCGCACCCCATGCAAGCGCCCCAGATCCGGCAAGGAATATGTCGGGGTTGTTCAGGGTTTAGGGTTTGAGGTTGCTGGTACGCTCATGTTGCAGAGTACGGTTGCATGTTTGGTGGAAAATCAATCCGACTTGGCAAAAATGGAAACTGGAACTGAAACAGGGGGGTGCGGCAGCAAGAGATGACTTGGCTGATGCAGGTTGGTCTTCGTTTTGAGGCCTGTTCTGGTACCATGTCGTCCCGAAGTTCCGATTCTGTAGGGGCCTTAATAACTAGCTATACTGTTTTGTGGGCTCCTTATTATAATTACAGTATAATGGGCCCCAAAACCACATTCTCATGATCAAGGGCCCTACATTACCGCACCACCTGTTCCTCGCATGGAGAGACGAAGTATCCACTCACAGGTCATAAAGTCGACCTTAAAACTCAACTTTGCTCACATCTGATAATCTAGCCCCGTAATCCAGGAAGCCCTAAGCCCATTCGCTTCCAAGGTTACCGAATTGGCTGGTGCTCTGCACAAAGCAGGCTTTTGCCGGCATTGGGCACCGAAGTATCTAAGACCTCGAAACCTCCATCAGCTTGTTTTCCGAGCTTTCGAGTTTTGGAGGGCCTTGCCAGACACCTCCCGTGTTCCTGTATTTAGGGCTTCAGCTTGTTCAAGGCTGCTTGGCTTAGGTTGAGGGATGTCTGAAGTTGCTGTGGCAACGTGTGTTGATCTTACTCAGTCTAACTCCTTGAGGCTGGATATTTGTGCTGCTTTTGCCTCGCCGAGAAATTCCATGTGCAGGTCATACTGTGCACATCTTCACAAGATCTACGCAGAATCGCACCTGGGAGAAGCTTGGCTGTCTAGAAACCCAGAACGCAGTTTTTGTCGTCGTAAATGCACAAACACGCAACGACGCACACTCCAACACCATCAAATGCTGAGGAACGATATCTCGGGAGTCATTTACCATGAGGTGGGCACCGACATGTCTTCTTGCGCTTGATGTCGCCGGCAAGGCACTGTCGGTTCCCCAATGCCTAGCTTTCGCCAACAGTCCTCGAGGTGAACTTCAACACCGACAGCGACTTCGTTAGGGAGATCGAGAACATGTGCGCTGCATTCGTGCCTGGGCTGGGCTAATACTAATGTTAATACTAATACTAATATTAATACTAATACTAATACTAATCGCCCGTGAAGACCCAAGACCCTGGCCTGGAAGCCGTCACCATGACCAAGGTTGGACACTTCCTGCACATGGAGAGCCGTGTAGGCTCGTTCTGCACTCTTGTGAGTTGGTGGCCCTCAGTTGTGATAAGCCGACACGTCAGGAGGCCTTTACACAGATACACAGTAACGGAAGTATTTCATTATGGCTAGTGTCCTTCTTCCGTTGACTACAGCATAAGATGATGTCAACGTAAGCTGCAGATAATTTGACGCACGACTGTCCCGCCAGGTGGTTTCGATGTCATCCATGGACACGACTGGCTCGTCGGTCCAGCTGTCATCCAGCTCGCGTCCATGAACAAACGGGCAGGGGACCCAATGGGACCTACCAGTAGCAGTACGGATAATTAATTGTACAGATGTAGTTAACCACATCAACTGGCAGTAATACTTGGCCATCCCTACAATCGTAATTGCAATGCTGCCGCTGGTGTGCGTGTGTGTGTGTGTGTGTGTCTGTTTTTACCTTGTAGTCTTCTGCATTCTGTGGACCTACCAAATACTTGTGCTCCTGCATGCACAGACGCATGGAGAGTCCTCTATTCGTGGTGTTACATATGTGTATACACACAGGCGGCCACCGCCGCAGTACGTATAGATGTTAGGAACAACAGGTCGCACATATGAGTTTGCGATATGTATGTATGCATGTTTTTTAGCCATGTACTCCCATGTATTGTAGCATAATGCAACGGTCTGTCAATTTCTCTACATATATCTGACTATCTATCTATGTATACACTATCTATCACTTGCCGATTTACCCATGTACCCATCCGTCCATCCATCCATACATCCATCCATCCATCCACCCATCTATCCATCCCTTCATCCATGCATGCACATGCGTGCTGCTCATGTACGGATTTGTGTATCATTATGTTGTTTTAGGTGCGTACTCATCATACCCCAGGTTAGGCTGACTTTCCCAAGGACTTCCTCTGCAATGCTTTCAATACAGCCTTGTCCGATCCAACGTAGTCCGATCCAGCGTATGCCACGAGTGCATCCGAAACAACCTGCGCAGGCTGACCGCAATGTACAGGTCTAGAATAGTCTCGAAGACTTTGGGTATAAGAGCAAACAAATCTTTTGAGCCATTGTCGCTTTATATCGACATAGCAGGTGGTCTTCACCATGCACTCGACGGAAACTGGCCGCTGCGGAAACGCGTTTTGAGCTTGTTTATCTTGACATTGCTCTGTCCACTGCTTGTGTGAGCGTGTTCTCATGTGCGAATCGCCAGGTGCAGTATGGCGGACAAAGTGCCCGGATTCGCCGACAACTCAGAGATTTGAAATGTTTGCCATTGTCGGAAGCGCCCGAATTCCATCATTAGAGCCTGTAGACCGGACTCCGGTCACCGGAGTGTGAGCACTTGATCACAGCGAAATTCTGCAAGAAAGCACGGGTTCCAGAATACTTATGGATGGTTCTTTAAGTTAGGATCCCTGTTTCGGTCCCCAAAAGAGTACGGCACCCTTATAAGAAGGACCGTAAAAGGCATGCTATTGTAGAGAACTACCCGTATCGTTTTGTGTTTTCCCCACACCTCTGAGGTGAAATCGAAGGCCAGGCTTGCCACTCTGCCCAGCGGGTCATCGCGGTCTCCGGCGTGTTGAAAGAGGAGGTTGGGTCACCCAGGAGCCTGCAGCTATCTCAGGGTTTAGGCTTCGAATTTAGGGTTTACTTTGCAAGCCTCAATAATTACCAATGTAATTGTGGGGGTTCCTTATTAAATTTATAAGATAATGATCCCCAAAACCCTTTTCTAATTAATAAGGCCCCTACAGCAGGGGTTTAGTCAGAGTGCGGGAGCACAGGCCACAACATTCACGTGTTGCGCGGGCAAACCCATCACTGTGGCATCACTCGTTTCACCATCCCCACTGGTGGATCTTCAAGTCATGCCGAGGTCTGTTCTCACTACCAGGTCCACGGGGCGAAGATCGAGGTGATCTACAACGGTCGGCTCCTGAGTAGCAGTTCTCTGGGTCGTAAGAATTCTGCGTCGTCAAGGTATCGGTTTCGCTAGTGTTTCTGATAGCTTTAGTTTCGTTGGAATTTGGAGTGGTAGTGCTGGACGGTTAGTGATGAAGGGCACGAGAAGGACTAGGACAAGCAGTAGAGTAGAAGCAGCGTGTGCATCGTCGTGGTGGCTGCTGTTGCCGGGACGGCAAGGATGCAGCGGTGGTGGTGGTGGTGGTGGTGGTGGTGGTGGTGCCTACATTGTTGTGGATGTACACGGGTCATGCAGTCGGGGTCACTCAGATGTCACGCTGGTGCGGTGAGCTCGCTTCCGGAAATTAGGCTGACTGATTAAATTCCTTCGGTAGCTTGACGGCCTCATGTTTAGGGTTTTGTCGATATGATCGCTGCCAATGTTTCAGGTGCTATTGTCCTTCCCTGGCCAAAAGTTTGTTGGGCCTTTCTTGGTTCCCAAGCCCCTCCAAGCAAACCCCAATTGTAAGAAACACCTAAACTTAAATCCATGAGACCCGAAGCTCTTTAAGCAAAAACAAAATCGAACTGCTAATTCCTAAACTCGTGATCCGAATTGTACTGTTCGGTGTCCCCCAGCTCGAGCCCAGGGCCTTGCACTCTGCGTAGCACTCCTGAAAGCCTACTCACCAGAATCCTTAAACTCGAACCCCAATCCCTACACCTGCCTAAACCCTGACCTTTAAAGCCTTCCGAAACCCCAGACCCGCAAACCCTAAACTCTATAAAGAGAACCCTAAACCCTTTTTTTCACACTCTCACTTCGCAAGGGATTCACGCCGATGCCATCGCAAAGATGGAGTGGGAGGACGAGTGGACCGGTAACACCAAGAAGGACAAGGCCGGGCTTCGGCTTAGGGCTCCCAAGCAGCGGTTTCTGTAAAGAGCTACTATAGGGGCTCTATTTTGGGGTCCCTTTCAGGGCTTCTACAAAGGGCTAACACACGGGATGTATCGTCTAAGGCTACAATGGTCGGGGGCTTAGCCTCAGGTTTATAGGGCTTAGGTTTAGGGTTCAAAGCTTTCTAAGAGGGCTACCTACTCCAAGGGTCCTGTAGCCCCTTCACCTTTTCATTTCATAAAGCCCTATTTAAAGTTTTGTCCAAAGCCGCTCAACCTCATAAATCCTAGAGAGCCTCATGCCATGTTTGAGGGCTTCGATGTGATGGACCCCATGTTCCTCTTCGTCGGACGCCTGGCGGTGCAGAAGGGCCCAGACCTGCTGCTGGAGGCCAACAAGGGAAAAAGATTTAGGGATATTACAAGCGTTTTTTTGTTTTGAGTTTTTTGAGCTTGGGCTTTAGAGGTTGGAGGTTGAGGTTAAGGTGTTTGGGTTGAGAGCTTCGGGTTTTGAGGGTTTAGGGCTTATGGGAGTCTTCAGCTCGGTCTCATAGAGTTTGGGATGCAGCATGTTGGAAGTCTTTCGGAGTTCGAGTCTTCGCGGCTTCGCTGTAAGGAGCCTCGATCGGAAGCCAAATGCAAAGATATGTTGGAACCTGTCGCTGTGCAGGTGTGCATACACTGGCATATCTTTGTGATCGTATTCAACTGTGTGTGTGTGAGAGAGACAGACAGCGAGTTCTTCTTTCGCCACAAGCTTCAAGCGTGGTTTGTCTACAAGTAATGCATATCTTTCTTGTCTGTCTCTATGTAGGAGCGTGTTTGTTGAGTGGGCGGGGGTTGGGAGCTTTTTCGTGTTAACTACTGGTCATGTACTTGGTCTGTGTGTTTGCTCTTGCCTCATTTTCTGCATTTGACACTTCTGCAATGCCATTTATCATGAATGTACTTACCTGCAAGTCATGAAGCACTTCCGGGGATCAGGAGCTGCGGGCCGTTGATTGAGGACGTGTGTCCCGTTGCCACATGAGTTGGGTGTTGAAAGCCGTCTTGTTCGAGCTTGTCCTAGAGTCCTAGAACGCCGCCGCGAGTGACACGGTCGCCTTAAGGTTGCACGTAGAAGCCAAAATGGTATTCCGTAGGCTGATTTGTAGACGGCCACAACAGCAGTCGTGCGGAGGCTATTCCAATGATCCTTCAAGCGCGGGGGAATGCCAAGTTCGTCATCGCCGCGGGCTCAGTCCTGCATTGCTAGAAGATGGCTGTCGCATTCAGATTCCTTTGTTCTTTTCCGTCGCAGGCATGCGATGCTCTTTAAGATCCTGCAGCTAAGATCGCGCACAGCATTCTCTACAATGACTCTACAAGCTGCCATCATGTCGAAGAGATTGTGGAACAGTCAAGCTGAGGCTTCTGAGTAGTCTTCTCTGCCGACTTCTCTGCCTGTTGCAGCAAAGATTCGACCAAGAGCCCTGCGTCAAGACCCGGTATGTTCCTGCTAAGGTTGGTGATGGCCACATGAAGGGTGCGCTGGAGTCCCGTGCGCATCAGTTCTTGGCCTCAGAGTCCCGCATGGTTTGCACAGATACTTATCACACAGGGAAAAGTGTGGGAAGACAGTAAGAGTTGTCGGGTGATAACGACGAGAATGGCTGAGGCAGCACATCTGCATGTGGTCGCATTGACCGCCCTGGTTCGAAAGCCTTCAATCCTAGACCCCAACTACGCATCGTCACATCCTATATACCCATATTGAAGGATGATAAGGTCTCTCTAATTGAAGCTGCTCTTTAGCAGGGTTGCGAAGAGCGCCGTACCCTTAGCTCAGAAGCTACGTCTTGGTGTCTCGCAGACAGCTCAGTCCTCAGCGGCCTTAATAGTTAGCAGACGGTCTTGGCATAAGAAGGAATCCCAGACATGGTATTGGCAATTAGTTTGAGGCTCCTACATTATCCATCAAAAGTGGGGCTTATGCTTCAAAGATGCTTGGTTTGGGGATGACGCGAGGAAGACGTGTTCCAAACCGTCACGTCCTAAACCTTGCTCGTGGAAGCCTACAGCCTTCGAAAACACTACACATTACCGGGCTCAGATGTTGCTAGCATCCTTGCACTTAAGGGGCTTTCATCATGTTCCCAAAACGCTCAACTCTAAACCCATCCACGGCGAAGACTCGACGTCCCTCCTGTGGGGGATGTTGGGAAGGCTGGGAGTTGGCCACGCCGTGTCCTTCGCTGGCTCAGCCAGGGGCTTGAGATCACAGGGCTGGCTGTAGATTTACGGTTAAGGGTTGCAGGGTTTAGGGCCGTTTAGGGCGCAGGGATTAGGGTCGGTGACTGCAAAGACTCTGAACACATCGGTATGTTGACAATAGCATAACCGCTCCAGGAGTTATCTGGATTCTTCGCTAACCGTGATCCGTGTGCACATCTGATCCTCCGACAACTACGACTACTCTTGCAAAATTTCTTTGGCTTGACTGACGCGCCCTGCGCCCCTAGTATGGAGAGGCCTACATAGCCCGTGCCCTAAACCCTAAACCCTAAACCCAAACCCAGAAAGCCCGGTTGCTCGTACAGGCCTGGGAGAGCGCTTCCTAGCGACCATCGGTAAGACGCTTTGAGTGCTCCTACCTCCTTTTCAGCACCCTCTTTTACAGCGGGGATCTGAATCTGATTATCCTGACAGTCGACATCTTTGTTCATTAGGCTCCACAACAACATCTGGTATTCGAAGATATGCTCGTTGCGTGGCCCCTGTCCGAGAACTACGTATGGTGGCCTGGTTTAGAGCTCTTGCCACTCGAAGACAGATCTGCAATAGAATGATTGCTTCAAGAAGAATGAACAGCCAACAGGGCCCATGGAATCAGTATATACAGACATTATATATATATATATAGATATAGATATAGTGCCCAGGGATTCAAGGTTAATGGCGTCATGGCCTCCAGCAATCCTGACCCATTGAAGCCCGACTGACCATGGGCTGGGACCTGTAAATCGTTTCTTCAAACCGGACTCGGAAACCCAAGAGCCTTAGCCTTCTCATTCTCGAGTCTGGCACAGGTGAAAAGTGGTACTACACATTTGAAGGTCAGCAGCTCGATTCGTCCTGCTCTTTGTTCTAGCATTTGTTGGCGACGGTCATTGTGGATGTGTTGATTCTGCTGATATGCGTATGTTACCTTTGGATGGAGTATAAAGCTGTTGCCTGTAGCTACTCATTACCATCATGGCTGTTGCTTTCAGATGCCAAGTTTCAACCCAAAACCCCTGAGCCGGTGATGGTCCCTAGTTCGGTCGCCCCCCAGCAGAAGGTAGTCAGAGGCTCAAAGTAGGCCGTCGTGTTCTGGGATCCTGAGACTGTCTTTGATGAGACTATCTGAGACCCCCTCTGCAAGGTTGCGGGCTCGGGGTTTGTAGCTTTTGGCCTTCTACAGGCCGTGAATTGGAGATGCTAAATTCTGAATCTTAGTCATCGTTGCCCGAATTCTAAGCCCAATGACGTCCGGCCAGCGATTTTGAGTCCGACATCCCCGGCTTAGCAAACATAAGCAGGAAACCACCTGAGGCGCGAATCAACGAGATCTTGCTCTTGTTGAGAAACTTATGTGAAGTTACAGTACAAAATGAGGGTATCTTTAAACCTATGAGTGTACATAGAGATATCTACAGAGATATACAAATATACGGTATAGGTAGATAGATAAACAGAGACAAAGACAAAGCAAAGGTTAGATGCTAGCCGGTCATGGCATCTTGAACTAGGTTTCTGAAGCAACAACAGAGGAAAACCGATCTGCTAGAGTTAGCCCATAGAGCCGTCGTTGAGGCCCTTTTCAAGTCCTGTGATGCCGTGGTCGTGCCCAGCCGTAACGAGCCCTTCGGGATTGTCGTCCTGGAGGCAACTTGTTTTTGTGTGCTTTAAAACACTCCGGGCTCAGGGACCACGCAGATGGGTTGAAGTGTTAGGGTGTGCAGTGATAATTGTCAAGCTTTGGAGCTTGTCTGATCTTTTTGCATCGGATCTTCAGTGGCTGAGGGTAAGCATGAAAACTACAAGGGCCCAAAAAGATAGTAATTCTACTCCAGCAACATAGCTACACCTGTCCTATAATGTACCCTAGATACTGCCAGGCCCCTGTTCTTAGCCAGCAGCAGCCACCGTCAGCACCACGCGCAGCACCAGCACCACCAACAACAGCATCACTGACCACCACCACCGCCGCCACCATCACCACCACCGCCACCACCACCACGGTCACTGAAAAGGCAACGGCTACACGACCACGACAACGACCGATACCACTACCACCACCACTAGTACTACTGTCAGTAGTACTGGCACTGTCAGTCTTCGCATTGAGTACTGATGGTTCTCTTACCCAAACAAGGCGAGCAGAGAGGGAGAGCCTCCTGGCAACACAGGGTTCCCATCATAGGAGTCCCTAACTCCGAAAACCCTTCCAAAGCTGGGAGCAGTTGGAGATGTGCACCGCACGCCCCTAATTCTTGAGCTTCAAGCAGTCAGCACTCATTGAGTCCTGCAGCGGACACCATGATGAAACGCCCCATACCGCCTTCGATGGCGAGTACGAAGCTGAGTTCAAGACCACCCACCCACCCACCCTTGACTTACCGCTGGTTAGTAGGGAATGGAAGAATGGTAGTAATAGTAGTTATAATTATACCCCATTCCTCCATTCCCTACTAACCAACGGTAAGTTGAATCTATCCTCCTCGTTGAAATCACAGAACTTGCTCAAAACGACCCTGAAGGCTTGGGCTGCTGGTAAGCCGGTGATTGCGACCACCTGCGGTGGCCCGCGAGACTTCGCAGCTCTCCCGGGAGAGCGTGCAGCGGTATGGGGCGTTACAGAGTTGAAAGTTTAGACTAGGGCCAGTTTAGGGATGTATGTTAGTAGAGCCGCAAACCTTCAAGTGGGGGTCAACCTATACGCAGTACTGGACTTGGCAACGCAAGCAAGATCGAATGCATCCGAAGGAGCACATTTTGGCCTCGTCTTGAAAGCTGAACCGCAAAATTGAGTCCACCAATCCTTCATTCAAGTGTCACGCTATGCAACCCTGTGTGCCTTAACCCATCTAGATCCTCTTAGATCCCTAGAACACACTCTTAAGCCCTGGAATGCTAAGCCTAGCGCCCTCGAAGCTCCGAAGCCTGACTCATTGAGCCCTACAAGCGAAACAATCCTTACAACCCGTAAACTTCTGAGGTCAGACCCGACCGGGATGGTTACCTGGTCGATCCCGACCCCGGGAGCATCGCGGGCCTCTCAGGGTATCGGTCTATAGTGCTTTAGGGGTTAAGGGTTGGGGTTGTTCAGGGTAATGAACTGGTTTTGGGCCTTTTGTGGTGAAGTGCTTCAGGGGTTGAGGCGTTTGAGGTCGAATGTTCTTTGCTTGCACGTGAAACTCCGGCTTGCTATGTCCGTGTCGTTTGGTTGTCTGGTTGGGAGGTTCTCGAGTTCTCGTGATTTCTGCAGATAATTGAATTTCAGGGTCGAGCGCTTTTGTCACTTATAGGTGCATGTTCTAGCAGAATCAGAGAACAGCTTTACCCTCCAGCCGCAACGCGACAAGCAGTGGCATCAGAATGGAGGCAATCATTGCTTGAACCGTCGGCACGTAGGTGCATTCCCGACTTCATGGCATGAACCCTGAACTGCAGGGTCAGAGTCCCTTCCAGGCTAGGCGATTGACTGACCTGGATCTAGAGACATGTACGACCCTTCGACAGAGCAGTGGGTCGAATCCGTTGACACAGCATGGCGCGCCACAGAAGCATGGGGTGCTCCGAACTCCATGGCCCCAGACCTGTCACCGAGTTCACAGTATGTAGCTATCAGGACGAATAAGGTTTGAGAGCTTAGGACCTAAAAGGCCTTGCTGGTAGCTGTCTGCCTGCTTTAAAATATTTTGTCCTTCTCGGATTTATCATCGAGCATTCGCGGTTTTGCTTATGGATTTGTAAATCCGTCGCAAGGTGTTGCCAAAGCATTTTGGTAATGGGCATTGTGCCGGTACAGTGCTGTCCGTGACTTGCAATACGAGCTGCTGAGCTGAAACAAAAGTTGGCTGTGTCGCCACATCTTGCCTTCCATTCTCTCCTCGGAACCCTTTACCGTAAATCCTAAACCCACAACTCTATAATGCAGAAGCCTGAGTAACTCCCAGTCTTATTCGGCAGGCTTAGAATTACTGTTGTATAGAATACACCCCCAAACCCTATTCTAATGGTTTAGGCCCCTGCATTAGTGTAACTTGTCTGCGTCATGCCAAGGCCTGGGGGGTCTGCAAGATCTGTGAGAACTTCGAGCATGCCAGGCGTGCATTTGCGCATGTTCCCTCGCATCCTCGCACTATTCCATGTGCCTAGGGCTTAGGGTTTTTGAGTTTAGGGCGAGACCAGCATGCTACACTGAATGATGCTGGCTCCTCTAGCAGACCCTAGCGTTTGAATTCAGCCGTGTTGGTTGCTGGGGAAGCTCAGCAGATAAGTCGAGGCGCAAGTTCAGAATAGAGCTGGCATACCCTGAAGCCGGACATCTATATTCTGGAGAGAAACCGAGATCTTCTTGTGCATTGAGAGCCAGGCCTTTAAATCAGGAGTTATCTGGTCTGATGCGGCGCACCGTGGAGCCGTGCTCTCTGTCACAGGTGGATGGGTGCTGTGGCGAAGGAGAAGGCAACTGCAAGCACAGCCCGATGTGTGCCTGGTGTGGACAAGCATAGAACTGACTGTCCAGGGGAACCCGAAACTGAGCTCCAGACTCCAGACCCCAGCTGTCTTTCTGTTGTGACTGATGTAATGTAGAGAGTTAGTGAATGAAGCTGATGCTACTGGCATGGCATGGTGCAGGCTCTGAATGAGTTCAACTGGACGTTCATTGCACGAAAGACGGAGCAGCCTCTTCGACCGCATCGGCTTTGCGGTTGAGTGTCAGGGTTCAGGAAGGTTACTCAAGCTTCCTTATTCGGGGTTGGAGCAGACTCACCCCCCTCCCAGATGAGAAGCTGAGAGACCAGCTCAGACACCCCTGGAAAATCCAGCTTGCAGCCAACCCAGAACAAGAGGACCATGCCCGCCGCCGCAACTGCCAAGGATCTACTACGAGCAGATGAACATCCACGATGCCCCCAAGTTCACTGTCCCACGTGGGCCCGGAGTGGGCGCCCCCTTGGCACAGCAAGTGCTGGGGCAGCACAGAGTCCACCTCTCAGCTTTCGCTGATGATTGAAACGTAGTACAGGGGCTGATGTAACGTAGGGATCGAAACATCTAGTAATTATACTGCCCTACAGTCCCTTTACAATTTCAGCACATGAATCCCCACTCCGCAGCAATAAGCTTTAATGTAACTTGTTACTGCCGCCGTGTTCGCCTAGGGGAACCGATTCCTGCCCGATCTGAACCTGAGGCTTTCAAGGTCTCACATGGTCTCATGGCCCCGTTGGAGTTGTCGTTTTCCCTTCAGGTAAATGAGGTAGTCTTTCGCTCTTCGTCATCATCCTCACCATCGTTCATCATCATCCATCATCATCACTATGAAGATGATGATGCAGGAGATGTCATTGTGAATAATGGGCTTTCTCTACAAAGCCGTGCTGCGTGATTTGTGGTCGAGCACAGTCATATGGGTTACGTCACGACGAGAACCCAGAACCCTGGCCAGAGCATGGTGACGCCGAGGGCGCGATGGGTGTCCTTGACAATAATCACCTCGTGATTCGCGGGCTTCAGCTGTCTGCGGCTCAGTTTCAAGCTTTAGGAAGCCAGAGTTACGGTGTTGTAGCCGGAGATCAAACAGTAATTAGAGCCACTGTAGTGTACCAACTATACCAGCGTGCAGAAGGCTTGTGCTAGCCGAGCTGATAGTGCATTCAGCACTTTGTTCCCACCATGTTCCTCCACATGCACAGCTCTTGTCTGATCTAGTTGAACCCACAAGTTTCGAACCGCCAGAGCTCTAAATGCGACCAAAAGCCTCAGCTCCTATGCTACGATTGTTGAAAATCTGTATACATGTGCTTCAGTTCAGGCTGCGAGAAGCATCAACTTCTCGAGCCTAAGCATAGTGCACTCGTACTGGGATGTCGGAGGCGAAGTAGAAGCGGCCCGGGCGCCCTTTTGGGGAACTCCCCTCTCCGCAACGATTGAAGCGTGCTCCCATGTGACTGGTCAGGTTGAAGATGAGCAGGTTAGTGTCGTCGGTGTTGGGCCGGGAATCTCAGCGCCCAGCATCTGCGAGAAATACTTGTCCGCTTGATACTACTACTACTACTACTACTACGACGACGACGACGACTGCTACAACGACTACTACTGCTACTACTACTAGGACCCCCCCCCCTCCCAACTACACTTGTTCCATCCGGGCTGGGCAGCGGTAGCTGCTAGGCACGGGCTCAGGCTCCTTATCTGTGACAGCTGCAGAAGTTGCAGAGGCTCAGTTTCCTTAACTGTCACAGCCGGTGAAGTTGCAGGGGCTCAGGCCCCAAAACTGCCACAGCAGCTGGAGTTGCAAGCTCGACGGGGAAGAAACTGATAAACCCCAGGTGGTCGGATAGTACGAAAACGCTGTAAATACGGTGCAAAACCCAGGTGCTGCCAACAAGGGTTTAACGTTTCTAAACTGAAGCGCAACATCTTATGAAGATCAAAAACAAAGATGCCAGCTGTACGTGGGAGGGGCTCGCCAACACCCCTACCGCCCAACCTCTGCGTAGGAGGGTCTGTTTTTGAAGTGGTGTGTGTGTGGTGTGTGCGCGCTTGAGTGTGGAAATATTGTTCAGGGTGTCCGCAAAACAGTGTCGTGATCATGCCCGAAGAAGCTTTCCCTCCCAATTTCGAGTTTTTTTGCAAACAGTTCCAAAGAGCAAAGTTTAATACGCATAGTCGAGAAGTAGGGGCTCAGAATATGTAACAAAGTCTGACATCACGAAAGTACCGTAAATACCGAGTTAAACGGTTCTTGTGGTGATACTGCTGGGTGTGTTCGCGTAACACTGTCGTCATCATCCGCCCCGCACCCCCCCCACCCACCCCCAGAAGCAAGTCCAAAATCAAGAGCCCGAGTTTGCAAACTCGACAAGTCGATTTTTGGGCCTCTTAGGATGATCGCACATGACGAAAGTGCCGTAAATACCGAGTAAAATGGATGTTGTCTTAACATGGTTGAGAGCAAGTGTAGTTGGTAGGGGGGTGCCTACTACTACTACTGCTGCTACTACTACTACTACTACTACTACTATTACTACTACTACTACTACTACTACTACTACTACTACTACTACTACTACTACTACTACTACTATTACTACTATTACTACTACTACTACTACTACTACTACTACTACTACTACTACTACTACTACTACTACTACTACTACTGCTTCTTACTCCTGCTACTGCTCCTGCTACTGCTGCTGCTACAGCTCCTGCTGCTCCATTCTGGCAATTTGAGTTCAGGATGCAGGCTTTAGGGTTTGGGGTGTTTTGAAGGCTTTCCGGTACTATAGGGGTCGAAACAAGTTTAGCAACAGTGTCACACGAAATACCCTAAGATAGTCGGTAGAGTATGCTATACCCTGACTTCGTTTTTGCTATTGAGGCCCCGTATAGCCAGACCAACTTCACCCAGGATGTGATGCCTCCATGACATGGATGGGATCAGAGTCGGGGACCTCAGCTAAACACAGGCTGGCATGTCCTTCTCCTTAAAATTATACTTTGGGTGTTCTTGTTATAGGGTTTAGGAAATTTCGTTGCTCACTCAGATTATGATGAAGATCATGAGGAGTGTTTGCTTGCAGTTTAGGGTGAAAAGCTCATTCCAGCGCCTGTGTGATGAGGTTCGGCGTTTTGGACCCGATCGATTTTCCCCGCGCTGCGAATGAGTACAAGAAGGCCCACCTCGGAATATCTGATCGTTTAGTTCAAAGTCTCCGTGCTGAGCTTGCATTGTTTCACATGCTATAAAAACCCTAAAGCCTATAAACCCTAGACCCCTAACAGCTGCAGGACAAGTGTGCGGTGCCCTATAAACTGGCTGACGCTCGACCGCATTAGAGTTTGCTCTGGGCTGCCTGCGGCTTGGCAGTCGGGCCCTAACTTTTTCGAAAACCGCTTCGAGCAATAATATTATAGCATAGTGTATTTTGGTGTAGTATCTTATCGTAATTATAGTGATTATAATATCATTATAGTCTAGTGTTATTATTGTAAAGTATCATTATAGCAAAGAAAAAGTTTTGCCCAGTGAAAGCCGGCAACACCCCTAGCCCGAGCACCCCAGCAAGATGCGTGAAAGCAATGTCCGAACTGAGGAGACGACGGGGCTCAAGTACAAGCCTGAACCTTAGCAGCCGACTACAGGAGTGATGCTGCTTAGTAGCTGAGTGAATACACTTTACACTTTTTGGGATAAGATTCCCCATCATATAACTAAGAGTGTACACTTTTGGGGGCTTATGAACTCAGCAACTAAGGCTGCTTTCAGGACCCTGGGTGTCCTTTGAAGCCCCGGACATGTTCGGACCACGGCTTTAAGGCGGTTAGGTGTGCTTAAGGCCGTACATACATATAGATATGAACATACATATATATATATATATATATATATATATATATATATATATATGCACATAGACACATACATAAACACACATATGATGTGTTTGTTTGTTTGTTTGTTTGTTTGCTTGTTTGTGTATATATATATATATAAAGAGAGAGAGAGAGAGAGAGAGAGAGAGAGAGAGAGATGCATATATATATATATATATATACACATGTATATACATATGAGCAAAGATGTGCACACACACACACACACACACACAAGAGCTGTCTGATGCATGCGCAAAGGCACTTGGACATTTTCGATCTTTTCCTGAACAGAGTGGGCGCTGCGCTCCAGTCTGGGTCTCGAGTGTGTTTGTAGAGTGGGTTCCTTTAAGGGTTCCTGTAGTACTCCTTGGGGTACCCTTCTAGATCCCCTATAGTAGTCCTCATTATGCCGACTACTATAAGTGATCTATACGGGTACCATAAGGGGTGGAGGGTTTAGGGCACTTTGGGCTTCTCTTGTGGCTCAGGATGCAAGGGCTTTAAGGATCAGAGTTGAACCCTCTAGGCTTGCAGGACCGACGAGACCACAACCAGAACAGGGGCACAAGAGGAGTGGAAGTCTGTTGGGCAGACTAAACATCTCGTCAAACTCAACCCTGGCAGTAGTCTATCATGGATAGCCGTGTGAATGAGCTTGCAGCAGCATTCTCCCTCGACCGAAGCTTGCTGCGAGCCCTCCGAGCCACTCTACCCTCAGACCGACTGAACTCTCGAACCCTGAACTCCAAAAAGACCCTGATTGCCGTGACCCTCCTGCTGGTCGTGGTGGTGGTCGTGTGGTGCGAATTATGAGAAATAGCGTACTGCTGCTAGAATGGTGTTGGTCATGGTGATGGCATGGCGATGATCATGACGACGATGATTACCCCTGCGAGCCAACACCAAAGTGTCTTCAACTCATCCGCTAAGGTGGTACAAGTCGCCAAAGTACACCATTGTCGCCGCGGACGAGGAGAAGAAGATTCTGGCATGGGTCAGGAGCGGTTCGGGGCTTAGGATATCCTTGTGAGTTGTCTTAAGAATAATTGCCAACATTATTCCTTAGAGCTTTTTTTGAAGAGTTGACTTACTCTAGTGCTAGGGCGGAGCCGTCTTCTGCCTATCAGGCCGCACTGTTACGGTGTAGATTCCAGAGCAGGGGTCTGCTCGTTGACGGGGTCAGAACAGACATGGGTTCCTGTGCTGTTATTTGTAAATACTGGGGCCTAACAGATTTCCTAATACTATTTTGGGGGTTCCTTACTAGGTTTGTTTGATATACTACTTAGGGTGGTCCTTCTTGTACTGTTAGTATTTCAATCATTAAGTCGCCCGAGTTGCTTCCACGCCCAAGGCATCCTTTTGGATCCACGCAACATCTTATAAAGTCTTACACCATGCCTGACTAAGCTAGCCCTATCACGCAGACCTCAGGACTTGCCACTCAAACATTTACAATGTTTCCCCGGGAGTTGATTCTGCTGAAGGCTTCCTGTTAAACGCCTTAGTGGAGAACCCTAAGCCTAAGGTTGCATCTTTGCCATCAACTTCCATCCCCACAACGAGCAGACCGACCTCAGAATAGACCTGCCGAAGGCTGTGGCGCAGCCAGGGTTTGGGTTCCCGAGGGTTTAGGGTTCAGGTTTAGGGTGAATGAGGGCTTACTGACAGACATGGGGTGACTGCAGCTATGTTCGAAAGGATAGCTTCCCCTGCACTTTCCATCGCGATACGAATGTCAGTATATGGCAGGCTCAATTTCCTTGCTGTATCGTTTTGTGACTCGCAGTTCTTGTTGCAACAGTAGCTGCTTCAGGCACTTCCTGTGTTACGATGGCAGGGTGCTGTGGTCAAGTCGCTTGAGTTTTTATTTTCGCGCGAGCCTGTCGGTTGTGTACAAGCAGCAACGCGTCAGCAAACCAGCACAACTATTTGGGAGTTTCCGAAGATCAGGGGTAGCTTGTTTTGGGGTCCTTATAATCAGGATCCTACTGCTTAGGGTGTTATATTAGCGTCCCCTATTTTCGGAAACTCCCGTTTGTGGATGGGAGAAGTCACCGACAATACCAAGCATGCTCTGAACGTTCACCTGGCCGAAAGAGCCCGCGCCAGGGCACCGATCTTGCAAGAGAGGTGGTCGTCGCGCTGGATACGGAGGCTGCTTGTTCCGTGCAGTTTCGGCCTGAAGAGCTGCTCCGGGTTCCAGGGTTCCAGGCATATACTTTACTATCATTCTCATATTAGCAACCCCAAAGTAATTTTTGGTAATTATTTGAGCCCCTGTGCGGCTGTGCCCAGGCATATACTTTTCTATAATTTCCATATCAGTAACCCAAAATAGTTTTGGTAGTTATTTAAACCCCTCTGCGGCTGTGCTCTTGCTTTCAGGATCCACGATTCGGCGGCGAAAAGGAGGAGCCATTGCTGAAGCCGACGACAAAGGCCAAGTACTGGGGGAGAAGAGCCCCAAGACCCTGTATGCTCGTGCCCACATCTTCCCTGCGAGTTCAACACCGGCCTCTTCAAGATCAATCTGCCTCCGAGGTGGCGCCCCGAGTCTGCTGTTGTTTTAGCAATTTTAGCAATGTGGCAGCCATCGCCACCACTGTGACAGCAAATGTGATATTCACTAACTACGTCATCAGCCACGACATGGTCAAGGTCCTCGTCATCTTCACAGTCAGAGTTTATTTTTTGTAGTTTCAGCTATCCTCTGCTCTACCATTAACACCGTCGTCCTCGTCGTCGTCATCAAGATGTTTTGATTTCATCATGCCTGAGTCTTCATCAGTAGCATGAGCTCGTCAGGGTGGTTTCTTCAACATCACAGTCCGCACCGTCATACTCATCATCCGGGACATCAACATCACTGTCATCATGCCGTTGCTGCTGCTGATCATGATGGTGATGTTGAATACCAAGCTTTCTCGTTTTTTTTTGGACCTGTGCCTTAAAGGAATCATTGCGAAGTACCTGTATGCACTTTCTCGCTGGCCATGCCATAGACGGCAAAGCTCGGTAGAAGAAGCCGATACGCCTAGACTTTGGAGCCCAACACGATCGAACGCATTCTAGAGCATAAGCCCTGCAAGCGACAGTTGAACAAAAAGGACAAAGTCAAACCATCCATAGACCAAGAGAGAATGGACCCCATGAAATCTCGCAGCTCTCTACTAAACCTAAACCCCTAAACCCTAAACTCTAAACCCTCCCTAAACCCTTATAGTCTTATAGTACCCTTGTAGTTCCTTTATGGCAGTCCCTACCGAAACCCCTAAGCACTAAAACGAAGCGTCATGCTTCGCAGGACAGGGCTGGTCTTCGCACCAGTGGAAGCTGCGGAGAAAGCCCTGGGTTCCGACAAGTTGCGGCATGGCGACAAGACTGGAGGGTTTGCTTGAGGATCCTTTTTGGGCTTCGGGTTTTAGGATTTGGGGATTGATTGTTTGTTTGATCTTTTATGCCTGCATCTGCCATAGCGGCGGCTGTTTTGGGGTTCTGTGCATAGTTTTCGCGCCGGACCTGGGGCCGATTTGCAGTGAGTGAGTGAGTGAGTGAGATTGTTTGGGGTTTTGGGTGGGGTTTCTGGCTTTTGAACGGGGTTTGGGGCATGAGGTGCGTAATGACCATGTTGCAGGCTCGTGGTGGGACTTAGACTTTCTGTGATTCGTGTGGTTGAAATGCGCGGTGTCTCCTTGCCATCGTCAGAACCTCAAATGTTCTGAGGTTGAAATGTGAAACGGCTGATGCTCTGCTTGGTGCATAGGCTGATGCAAGAGCAGGCAGCGCCAAGCCGCAGTTGACAGGTCGTCAGCCCAAAAAGTCAACGGACCAGCAAAGGAGTAGGCAACTGCGGTGTTAGGCGCACCTGCAACCTGAAGCCCTTGCTTCCAAGATGCTCAGCCCCACAGCAAGAGGAGTCACCTTTTTCCGTTAGTCCACGACATGTATCGGCCGTCCGTCATGTCCAAAGAGGACTGTGCACTGGCTGCTGGCCAATGGCCACCGTTTCAGCAGTGTGCATGAGTCGGCCCTGAGTGCCAATAGAGGTTTTCTTTCGTGTCAACTCACACAGTCACACGAATTTGATCAATGTTCTGGATAAGCCCAACTTGTTCTTCATTATCTGAGACGGTTTTTCTTTCTCGCACCAGGTACCTTCCATCCAGTTTAAGGAAGCGAGTCCGGTTGCGAAAGAATGGCTATCGGAAATGCACCAGACAGCGCTAACCGAGTCGCGTTACAGCCACCGTCCTAGTCCCGGGTTGACCTAACATGCACCGAAAGGCTTGGCAAGATATACGCAATACACATCCATCTTACGAACATCAGGAACCCCTATTATTATTACTATTATTATTGTTATTACTATTATTATTATTACTATTATTATGATTACTACTATTATCATTATTATATATTATTATAAGATGAAGACAGGTCGAAATCAGAAAGACCGAAGGTCGGCTTTAGGAACAGTCTTTCTCCTTGCTGGCGGCCAGGGGCGTGGCAACTCGGGCGCTTGAAAGTTTCATGGTTCTGTAAGGGCCTGCAGTGGCCAAAGGGACATCATCATAGCCAGCCGCGACCCAAGAAAAAGGCTCTGTGAGGCTTCCGCACCTCTTGTGACAGCAAGCTGATTCTTGAAAGCTCTTGCCTCAGCATCTCTATACAGTCTCTGTCTTGTACAGCATGGAGGTGTCCTGAAATGCGAGTAATCGTGTGGGGGGGGGGGGGTTACCCAGTCCCTGAGCCCTAAACCCAATGGCCCTATGATGATGAAGTATGTAACCATGTAATAGGGGCCTTAATTATCAATTATCACCTATTGGGGCCCATTATGCTATAATCATAACCAGGAACCCTTGTTATTATTATTATTATCATTATTATTATTATTATTGTCATTATTATTATTATAGTATCCGACAGGTGCTCGCCTCGGTGTGCCGAGGGTGTCCATGCCAGGGAGCTCACGCTTCTTCGTGCCGCAGCCACCGGTGCCCTCGAGTGTCCTGGTTCAAGCTGGGTTTAGGGTTCATGTTATAGGGTTTTTTTGGTATTTTTGTTCGCTTCAGGCTGGAGGGGTGTAAAAACTAGGCATATAGGTTTGTCAGAGCTGCTTGGAATGGAAATACTATTGAGGGTGAACGTATCAAAGGTCCTTGTTTCCCTCAGCTCCTGCATCATTATTATTATTATTAGTATTAGTATTATTAGTATTATTATAGTATCCTGCGGCGTAGATTTGAAGACCAAACTGCTGAGGTGGGTGCTCGACTCCCCGGACTCCCCTTTCTTCTGCCAGCAGCTCAGAAACCTAATCAACGGTTTACCCATATAGGCTCCATACTAGTTCCTTTTTGGGGTTACCTAGAAGGGATTGTAAATATGAACCCCCAAAAGGAACTACTATGGAGCTTATGGGTAGATCTCTGAGCCGGAAAGGCAAGAAGCCGCAATCCCCGGCTGTGCCCCAAGCTCTTTTGAGCTGCAGGTCGGAGGAATGTCCGTCTTGGTGACACCGCGTGGTTGCTTGACTGCTCTTCAGGCTGTGATACCACTGTGACGTCCGGAAAGGAGAGAGCCCTAAGACGGCCGTCACACCTGGAGAAACAGAGTCAGACGGCGCCGTGGTGGTAGTACGACTACGAACCAACTAGGCACAACTAGACTTAGAGGAAAAGGAAAGATGCAAGTTGCATAGCCGTAGCGGTGGGGTCATGGGCAATAAACGAATGCCTACAAGCAGTTTACATCTGTCGTTGTGTGTATTGCTATGCTCACATGAAGCATGAACTCATCGGAGTTCTCCACCGTTAAGCTGTTTACCGATGCACCTCGTCCTATCCAGTCTTACCTGCCCATGCATTTTGTGTTCATTTATATGCATACACACACACATATATATATATATATATATATGTATAGAGGTGCTATATATCTATCTATCTATCTACCTATCAGTATCTATGTATATATATATATATATATAGGATACATATGTAGCATGCATACGCAGTGCATAAACACATACATGTACACTATACTGTATATGTACATGTGTGTAAAAGGACAGTTGAAAAGCTGTATGTAGATACCTTCTAAGCACCTATACATACACACGTAAGTACTGCGTTGACAGACATCTGAGCAAGCAACTGGAAGTGGAGAGAGAGAAAGAGAGAGAGAGAGAGAGAGAGAGAGAGAGAGCCTACACCATAGCCCTGGCGAAAGAAAAGAGACAAAGAACTCTGTGAGTGCATACGCATACAAATACATGTGTGTATGTATACACATACTTTAGCCTGCACACAGAGAGAGTTTTGTATTCATTGTTATGAATATATATATATATATATACACATACATACATACATCATATATATATATATATATATATATATATGCGTATGTGACGAACACATACGCATATGTCGAGAGCAGTCTTGTTTTGTTCCTTCTGGAGGGCCACAAAGACAAGCTTTTCAAAGGCTGCGGAACCTCCGTGACGGCACCAGCGGGGCCTGGGTCAGGCATCGTCTACCCGCACTCGGCTCTGGTGCGCCTGTCCATGGGGTCGGTGTTGCTAGTTTGAGGGTTTTGGCCTAGGGCCTTGGGTTTGGAGCTCGTGGGATGTGGTAGCTCAGGTGGCTGTGTGTGATATTCGTAGGACGGGATGCTGATTTGCGACGGAAGAACTAGCCTTTTGATCGCGACGACCTCTTGAAACTGTTCGGGCATCCGGCAGTATGTTCTTAGCCTTACCAAACGGCTATGGCCCAACCACGTGGACGTGGAATGGTGAGATGCAGCGAATGTTTTGAACTCCAGAATCTTTCGTTTCTTGGGCAAGGCTTCCCGCCATGAGACGAGTCTATGTTATAGAAGTGTTTCAGAAGGCTCAAGTATGTACTTCGAGTGTTCACTTCAGGATATTGTTTGCATCTCTTGTGCCGCATCAACGGAGGTACCACCAGGAAGCAGCATCAAAGCCAATGCTGCTATGCTCGTCCCAGGCTCGCTCCGCTCTGTAAGGCAATCCCGGCGTCACGAGCCCGACATCTTGGGTAGGGCACAAAGAGCTGCTGGTGATTGTCGTCCTGTTCGTGTCGATAGTCGTTTAGTAGTTACTAGCAGGAGCATTTGCAATGGCCGGTTCATTGAAATCAGGTGACCCGGGCCTGCAGAGGAGCATAGCGGAATCTTGTCGGCACTATGCGCAGAATGGCTGAATTTGCAACCCGTTAGAGGACCCAATGGGCTGGCAACGACCAGGTCTCTTATAGTCGAGACCACGATGCAGCAGCAAGAGAACGTGTGTCCCGAAAATATCACGAGCAGTCAGATAGCACGGAATATTATCTCATCCACCATCATCTATCCATGCATCGATCGACCTGCCCGCCCATCCGTCCGTCCGTCCATGAATCCATCCATCCATTCATCGACCCATCCATCCACCCACCAGTGCATACATCCATGCATCCATTTACCTGCCCGTCTTTCCATCCATCTATCCATCCAGCCCCCCAGGTGTCCAAGCATCCAGCCAACATGAGGCCAAGTTGTGGAATGCACAATGAGTTGAGATTATACCGCAGGACGGGGCAGGCCAGGTCCACCGAGAGCGTTGTCAATTCCGAACACGAATAGTCACGGCACCTCATGCGCCGGACCATTTCGCTCGCGCTCGCCTGGGGCATCAGAGGATTGATAAACGAGAACGCAGCGTCACGGCACCTTTCAGCGTCATTTTACGATGCGCGGTGACTGCCGCTAGCCCTGCCCACCCCGCCCTTTCAATAAGCGATCATCAACAAGTGGCAACCACACAGAGACCCCGAATCATTCTCTGAAACCTCACGCAAACCTCACATCGTCAGCATGATAGTGTTGCCAAATGAACTGCTGGAAACACAGATGAGAGCAGTCATGGTCGTATTCTGGCAACCAATAGTGGTAATGGTGACAGTCATCATCTAGTACAAGTTGAGCAGGAACTATAGCAGCAGTGACGGCGGTGGCAGCGGTAACCTTAACTTGGAACCATTAATGTAGTGGCTTCGAGCTCAGGCAGGTAATGGGCTGCCTTTCTCAGCATCTTCGACTGCGTATCCCACGCCAGTGGTTCGGTCGCAACGAATCTATACGGGGCTTGTGGCATTGCAAGGTCTCACGTTCGATAAGATGCCGGCTGAGCTCAGGTGTCCAAGGCATCCGACTCGCCAGTGTGGTCATCGCCTTTACAGGCCGTCCGCGAAGAGCGCAAGACGGCCGGGAGCCGACACCACTTAGGAGGATCATGAGACTTAGTAAGTAGGCTTATAAGATCTTATAAGTACCTTAATTGGGGTTATAAGTAGTTATAAGTATAGTCACCCTAAATGTAACTCTCGTTATTGAGTCCCATGATCCTTTAAGCACATTCTGCCTTCTTCAGGGTCCTGCAAGTATATGGGAGTTTCCGAAAATTAGGGGTACCCTATGTTGGGGTCCTTTATTATAAGGATCCTACTATTTCGAGTACTATATTTGGGTCCCCTATTTTCGGAAACTCCCTTATAGTACCCTTATAGATCCCTTATAGTAATGCTTACAGATATTAAGGTCCCCTATTTTCGGAAACTCTCATATCCTGATGTCCGAGGTCGGGGCACCCTTCGATACGCCGCGGAAGTCGGTGAGGGCGAGGCTGCGCTGGCGGAGCGGAGTTTACCCTAAGGCCCCAAAGTACTTGCTTTTTAGTGTTCATATATAGAAAATTAGAAAACTATAAGGTAATCCCCAAAAGGAACTACTTTGGGGCCTATGGGTAATTTGTTTGCCTTTCCCAAAGGGTCCTTAAGTGACCATGTAGTATACACTTTAGGGGCCACGAAGTACCTACTAGAAGGGTGCTTGGACTCTTTGGATTTTTTGCAGAGCTGGAATCGGGAGGTAAACCTAAACCCCTAAACCCTGAACCCTGAAGCCCTAAACCTCGGGAGGTATCCTGGCTGGGAGGGTGTCAACCGACATCTGCTTCCACGCGCAGCCGGGCCGCAGAGGCCACGCTGCTGAGCCGACAAAGCGAAAGACACCGTTTTCCACTAGTGTGTCTTTCCTTGAAAGCTTTGTCATAGTTCGGTAACATTTTATATTTTTTTGGGTACTTGAACCCAATAAGGAATAAAAACGTACATTTTTATATAATCCTATCCCAACAATGAACTAGAAAAGGGGCCATAAGGGATCTATAGGAGAGTTTCTGTAATATAGGGGCCTTAATGGTTAGACTAGGGTTTTGGGCCCATTATACTATAATTACAATAAGGAACCCCGAAAATAGTGCAGGTAATTATTGAGGCCCCTAAAGTACACATTGACAAGGGGGCCGCCACAAACTTGCTATGAATCCTATAGATTCAAAATCCTCTCGTGTCTGTGTAAACACCCCAAGCCCAACCATCCGTAACCCGCACGGTCCCTGGAGGCAGAAGCCAGGTCCTGAGCCAGAGCAGAAAGGACACCTGCCGAGCGTTTCGGCTTCAAGTCTTTAGTCGTTCAAGGTTCTGCCAGGAGCTTCGGCCCCAACGAGGATGATGCAAGCCTTGTATATATATATATATATATATATATATACATACATGTATACATATATATGTGTGTGTGTGTATGTACATACATATATACGATGGGCATCAAGCCCAAAAGTCGAACCGTATCTATCTAGCTATCTGTCTGTCGGGGTTCTATCTACCGATCTATCTACCTACTCTTAATCTATCGATCTATCCGTCTAGCCCTAGCTAACTATCCATCTGTCTATCTATCTGTCATATACAATCACATGTATATTTATGTGTATATTAATTCAGACATATGCACATCCAGACATTTTGTATACATTGCATCACTTATACATACATGCCTGAGTACGGGCAGAGGGACATATATATATATATATATATGTGTATATATATGAGAGCAGCTAACCGTAAACACATATACACTTGCACCTGACTCTGAGGCAGTCCCCGAGTTGCTTGCCTGTTTTGTTGTTTCGCAGTTTAGCAGGGACAGCAACTTGGCACAACACGACAGCGGCAAGGTCTGAAACGCGGGTCCGGAAGTGTGATGGTTCGTGGTTTGGGATTCGAGAAAAAACCGAGATTGTTTGAGAAGTTATCATTAAATGATCTGCTGTACCTGCTTGCAACATTTGCTTCCTGACTTAACACCATCGTGGAACAACACCCGTTTGTTCCATGTTTTCAGGGCTTGCAGCAGCCAAGAGAAGAGAGTCTCCAGTTTGGGTTGCACAGTCTTTTTCCGAGGAAACACGGAGTTTGATCAGTCCGCCGTGCACCCATCTGACCAATCTCCAGACTGTACTCGAAAGCTTCGCGCGGGTTTGTTCATGTTCGAAGAGGTACCGGCACATGTCAAGATAGCCTTCCAGTACATCTCTATAATATATTATATGCTTAGCAGGCTTCAAGTGTCCTGGCATGCATTCCGTCAGAGAGGGGAACAGAAAATACCATGAAAGGTAAGCACTGGAGGGTGTGGAAAGTACAGGTGTTGCATGTACAGGCCCGCTAATTCATAACACAAAGCGGGAACAGCCTGGGTTGTTGCTCGTCATCAGAGCCAAACCTGCACATGTATTAAAACGAACCGTGCCCTGCCCGGGAATCACAACAGACACTCATTCAACATGGCTTGGCTCAACAAGTAAAAAGGAATCTTTTACGCCAGGATCCCCATGCTGATCACAACGTGCAATCCACTCCTGCTTGGGGGGGGGGGGGGTAGATTGTGCCATCATTATAAACATAGGGTCCTTAATAAGTAGAAGGAGTTGGACCCATCATATTATAATTACAATAAGGAGCCCTCCAAAGAAGCATAGCCTTAGTTGCGGAGGACCTGCAGCAAAGGGCGCAAAGGCAGCAGGCGGAGGCCTCCCTGAGCTTGAAACGAATTCCTTTATTAATGTAGGGGCCTTAAGGGGCTTTTGGGGGTTTCCTTATTACAAGTATCGCTGGCTGCTGCTTCAGGGTACTATAGGGGTCTTGATAGGTACCGGTACTATTTTGGAGGTTCCTTATTATAAGTATAGTATACTGGGCTCCACAACCCTATTCTAATTTTTAAAGCCCCTATATTGCTGACCGTGCTGACGCCAAACTTGCGGATCGGAGACGGCTCCTCCACAGTCTTGTTTGTTGAGAATCTTGGCCGAATGCCCCACTGGATTCTTAGAAGAGCCACGACGCACCCATGGGCAGGTGAAGATGCGGGCAAGAAGAAGCGTGAGACCTGCCCTCAGCAAATGTAGTATGTCATTTAGTCAAAAATTTGTCTTGCGAAGCACATGCCAACCGGACATGCTCATAATGCCCTCATGGAGGAGCACAGCGACCTCGTCCCGCGCCACAAGTGCCCGGCACCCAGTACTTGAACCAACAGGCCTGTTGTGATGTTCAGAGCTGAGAAGTGGCGCATTGCCAACAAAGTCTGAAGCAGGATCCGAGGCGTCAGAGTTTCTGTTCGTTTGGAAGGATCTCACTGTCGTCTTGTTGTCTTGTCTCGCTTTGTCTTTTCTCTGCT